GCATTCCAGAAGAAAATGCTGTTCTAGTATTCACACAAGTATATCTACAACGTTGGAGTACAGTGGCCCTGTAGGACATGCATTGGAGCACGAACCACACGGTTGTCCCTTTGACCTCACCAGTCTCTGAAATCCTATACAGGATTGCTACAAGTCAGAACCAACTCAATGACACTTAACAACGAAAACAACAACAACCTAAAACTAGGAGAAGACTGGAATAAAACAAAAATTCAGATGTCATTGCCAGAAACTCAACCTTTTCATGTGGAGGTTGCTGGGATATCACTTTTAGTAAAGTTGGTATGCAGTCTTCATTTTCTTTTTTCTTCTTAAAATAGTACCCCTGATTATGGCATCTTTGAGTCCACTCATTGGCGTTAAGGTAAATGAGCATCTAATGGCCGAGTTAACAATGGGAAGATTGTCAACACTGAACCTGTTTGTCGTGGCTGAATGAGCACAGACATGTGAGCAGTCCCATTCTGTACTTTCCACTATTGTCAACGGCATCGCCTGTGCATCCCTGGAGGGGTCACTGTTACAGGAATGCCTGAAGGAGGCTGTGTATCTGCCATCTCTCATGGCAATTAGGTTAGTGAGAAAATATCGAGTGAGGTACACACTGAATTCCATAGAAGCTAGAGTTCTGGTTTCAAGTTGAGCTCTGAAATGTGGAGCCAAGAGCTTCCTTCTTCTATCTGCCTGGGCTCACAGCCTAGACCCTCACTCTTGCTATCCTGAGGGGTTCTTGCTCCCCAAGGCGTGAGGGGTGCCTGATGGTTGGCTGACAAGGGAACCACAGCCCAGGGACACACCATTATGAAGAGAGCCCGAGTCCTAAGAGACAGTGGAGACGTGTGCAGGATTCTATGCAGTGCACATTTGAGGCCACGCACCATGCCACTGTCTCACCTGACAGTACCTACAATACCACTTCCTGGAGACTCTGATGCCTTACACTCTTCCCACTCTGCATGGAATTACTCGGGGAGATTCCTACAAGGCCTGGCCTGTCATACTAGCTGCCAGCACCAATCCAGGGCATGATGTCCTCCGAGAACTTGGCAAGAGCAGGGTGTCCAGGGGCTCCTGTGTGTCCAGGGGCTCCTGTGTGAGGCAGAGGCCTGGTCTGTCATGGGATGGGGGGTTCAGTTTGTCAGTTCAGGAGAAATGGGTAAAACACAGCTGGATAATTAGTGCAGGAGCCTCCCAGATCCCGGGGGTCGGGTCCCGGGTCTATGTGCTCCATTGCTGACAGGAAAGTCAAGTGTCATGTTCTGTTTGCACACAAGCAGGCCACTGTGTCCTTTCTGGACTCCCTTCTCAAGTCTGTATGGCCAGGGGCTCACAGAGAGACCATTCATGATCTTCTCTGACCAGTGGACCATCTCGATATTGGCGATGGTAGTGGTGGTGGTGTTCTGTGGAGTTGGTTCTGACACATAGCAACCCTGCATAGGGTTTCTGAGGCTGTAAATCTTTATGGAAGCAGAAAGCCTTATCGTTCTTCCACAGATCAGCTGGTAGTTTTGAACTTTTGACCTTCAGGTTAGCAGCTCGACTCATATCCACTACGCTACGTGTAATAAAGCCACTGCCCCTGCAACAAACTCTGACTGGGATCCAAGCCCTGGACAGTTTCAAGTGACCTAATGTGGAGGTTTAGAAGACCTGATGGTGCCGTGGTTAAGTGTTGGGCTGGTAACAAGTCTGTAGTTCAAACCCACCGGCCGCTCCAAGGGAGAAATATTGACGCTCTTTGTTCCTGTACTGACTCTTAACCCTCAGGAGCAGATTCCTGGTGTGGCACTGTAGAATCAGCACTGGACTTTGAATCACAAGCTTAGCAGTTCAAACCCACCATGTGCTCCTGAGGAAACTTACACAGGCTCGCTATGAGTTGGAAGTGACTCTTCGCAATAACCACCACCCTAAGGAGCAGTTCTAGCTGTCCTCTGGGCCTGCTCTGAGTAAGAATTGACTCAGTAGCAGTGGGCAACATGGAGGTTAGATGAACACTGACGATACCATAGCTTTCCAGGAGAACAAACAAATCAGCCGTAGAAACAATACAACCCGAACACTCCTTAGAAGCAAGAATGGTGAGACTTGGATTCTCTGACTTTTGGATATGCCATCAGAAAAGAACAGTCTCTAGAAAAGGACATATTTGGTGACGCAGAGGGTCATTGAAAGAAGAGGGAACCCTGAAGGAAATGACCTGACACTTAAACAAGTGCAGGTTGTGAAGAGGATTCAGGGCTGGAGACCATTTTGTTCCCTGTTACCTGGCGATGTGGAAGTAGGTGGTAGTCATCCTGACCTCCATGCCCTCAGCAGGTCCCTCTGCCCTTACTCTCCTGGACAACATGGCAGGCCCTAGGAGTGGGACTCTGAGGTGGGTGAGTGGAGCAGCCTGGCTCCCTTTGACAGGGATCCTTTCCTGGTGGCAGACTGCAGTATCAGCAAAGAGTGTCACTACATGGTTTCCATGTGTGTAAAGCCAAGAGTAATGAGGACAACATACCATACACACACACTCTTCTCCAACATTGGAGGAGCCAGGGCCGGGCCGCTGCCCCCCAGCCCACAATGTCCAGGGATGGACAGCTTCCCTTCAGTCCACAATGTCCAGGGACAGAGAGCCACCCCCCAGCCCATAATGTCCAGGGACAGACAGCTGCCCCTCAGGCTACAATATCCAGGGATGGAGAGCTTCCCTTCAACCTACAATGTCCAGGGACAGACAGCTGACCCCCAGCCCGCAATGTCCAGGGATGGACAGCTGCCACCACCCACTCTGCAATGTCCAGAGACCCCTTTCCAAAGACACGTACACCAGGGACCTTTCAACACTCACATTCTCAACCAAATGGCTGCTCAGCAAAGTCAGGAAGCTCAATCCAGGCACTGAGATCAGATGTGCATTTGTACCCCCAAAGCAAGAGCTGCAGGAGAGGCACCCCAGTGCCTCTGTCACCATAGGGAAGTGAAGTCCAGGTCCAAGCAAGCAGGATAGCTTTGATGCAAACACACGTGTCCCTGGTCCCCTTGTTGACACTTGCCTCTTCTCCATCCACACGTTGGCCTCCACTGCCCCTCAGGCTCGTCTGAGAGTTCCTTGCTTGCTTACATATGTATCTGGTCTTATAGCCAAGTTAACCCACACAACTGGCCATCTACACTCCTAGCCAGCCCTCCTGCCCATTCCATCCCACCCTCATCCATCCATCCACCTTCTGGAAGACTCACCTAACCCTCCAAACCTCGAGGAAGTCCCATTCATCATCCTGTTCTTCACCTCAGTATCTCTCACCCCTGTCTCTCCCCTGAGCCCAGTGGGATGCACCCCTGTGGGGAGGGAGTTCTGTGTGGTGGTGGTCATGTCATTATAGTCACCCTAGCACCTGGCTGGGGCCCAAAGCATTTATAAGTTATTGTTTGAGGGATCCATACTAACCATCTGGGAGACCAGTCAGGGAATGAGTGAACCCCCTGAATCTCAGCATCTTTTGTTGCCACAGGAGTTCATCTAGGGGGACTGACCACTGAGTTCACCATGGTGGTGGCCACGTCCTCTGCAGAGTTTAATTTTGGCACACCTGGTTTTATTTTGCTCTGTAGATGTGATGTTGCTTACAAATGGAAGGCTTGTGGAAACCCTGCATCAAGCAAGTCTATGGACAGCATTTTCCCATCAGCATGAGCTCACTTCCTGTTTCTGTGTGCCTTGTTGGCCAGTCGCATAAGATCGCTAATGTTTTCATCATGCCAGTGCACACTTCATAGATGAACGTGTGGTTGAAACATTGCTTTCATATGAACTGGGAATCAAACAAATGTTGCGTGTGATTGGCTGGAATGCGATATTCCCTTTATTGCAGTGGTCAGGAACCAAACCTTCAGTACCCCGAGGTCTATCCACAGCCCCAGGTAAAATGTGCTGATGGCAGTGTAGTAGACTTACATGCTCTACAGAATCAACCCTCACCCCGCAGCCCCCCAGGGTTTCCTGTGGCTCATGCTGCCTTAGAAAAACTGAGAATTTCTGCAGCAGGTAGGAAGGCTCCCTTGGGAGGTAATGAACAATTACACCTGAGGATAGAGAGTAGACCCCATTGGGCCCCACTGGCAGGAACACAGGCAGACAAGATGCCAAGGTCCTGTTGCTTTCTATCTGGATACCAGCACAGCTGACCAGGGCACGTGGTTCCCCAACACAGCTGACCAGGGCACACAGCTGACCAATGTGGGTGAGGCCAGGGCACACAGCTGACCACCATGGCAGACCAGGGCATGCTGACCAGCACCAGCTTGTTTAGGGCCCTCCCACAGAGAACATGGGCACCCACACTCCTGCTGATGACCCTGGATGGGGACTCCTCACCCCAAACTCGAGGCTGACATTAAAGTCCCCAAGGCCTCATACCTGGATGGCACACAAAACTGACCCAGGTAGTTGCGATTTCTGTTTGCTTATTCAGCTGCAGTTCCCTGTTGTATACCTCATTCTAATCTGCAGATTTTGAAGCTAGTTTTTACTATAACAACCTTTTTAACTCTGCTTCCAGATGACTCCATTACAAAAGGACATCTTTAAAAACCAAAACCTGTAGCTCCCTGGTGGAAGGTATTTTGAGTGTGGTGTGTTCAAACATCTGGAATTCTCTGAGGACCTGTGGAAAGGGCTGGAGGAGCCTTAATTAGCATTCAGCCCCCCTTTTTCCAGAGTCCGGGGAGAAAACTCTTTGAAGCTGAAGGCACAGCCTCAGCACTGAGATTTTAATACACATCCACGCAGACATGGGAGGAGGACCATTTACCATGTCAGCGCTCCTTTTCCTCTTCAGGATGGGGTCACTTCTCACTGGAGCAGCAAATGAACCTTTAAACACACTATGGTCTGCGGAGCAGCACTTTCTCATTGGCAGCAACAAATAACAACTGTGCTGAGGCACTGCACTTTTTCAGGGCTCCCAGGGCCTGGGGTGTCTTACCAGGGGGATCCGGGCACGGGGGCGGAGGCCACAGGTCTGCTGCCCTTGGTGAGGCTCTCCTCTCCTCGAACTAGAATGGAGGTTGGCTCCTTGAACAGAAAAAGAAGGGAGTGCTTGGTGAGTTATTTCTAAATGGTCAACAGCAGTTACAGACCACCACAAGACCAATCTCAAGGACTCCTGTAGACAGACCTGCTCATCATCAAACACAACAACCTAACCACCTGCTATTGTGTTAACTCTGATTCATGGTGTGTGTCAGAGTAGAACTGAACTCCACAGGGTTCTCAGTGGATGATGTTTCATAAGTAGACTCCACTCATGGTGCCCCCGTGTGTGTCAGACTAGAACTGTGCTCCACAGGGTTCTCAGTGGATGATGTTTCATAAGTAGACTCCACTCATGGTGCCCTGTGTGTGTCAGAGTAGAACTGTGCTCCACAGGGTTCTCAGTGGATGATTTTTCATAAGTAGATCCCACTCATGGTGCCCCCGTGTGTGTCAGAGTAGAACTGTGCTCCACTGGGTCTTCAATGGCTGATTTTTCCTAAGTACTTTCCACTCATGGTATCCATGTGTGTGTCAGAGTAGATCTGTGCTCCACAGGGTTCTCAGTGGATGATTTTCCATAAGTAGATCCCACTCATGGCACCCCCGTGTGTGTCAGAGCAGAAGTCTGCTCCACAGAGTTTCCAGTGGCTGATTTCTTAGAGAAGTAGACTGTAAGACCTTTCTTCACAGGTGCTTCTGAGTGGATCTGAAACCCCAACCTTTCTATTAGTAGGTGAGTACAAACTGTTTGTACTGTCCAAGGAGGGGTGAGAGGAGCAGGATGGACTTTTAGAGTCAGGAATCTGGAGCACATCTTAGGGTGGAGCTTCCTTGTCTATTCATGAGAATTTTCTTGGTGAGCACAGTTGGTATGAGGGCCCATTGATGGGCGGTGAGGTCTTGGTAAGAAATCTGAAGGGTGGCCCAGTAGGAAGGCTCCTTGGACTGTCATGCTCCCACTTCTGAGCACAGACAAGGTGAGCCCTTATGTGCCAGGATGAAACCATGCTCCATGGGGGTCTCGTGGCTGGAATTTCAGAAACTGATAGCCAGGCCTTTCTTCCCAGGTGCCTCTGAGTAGACGCAAACCTCCAGCATTTTGGTTAGTAATGGGGCTCCTTAACCATTTGCAGCAGAGTGGAGGTGGGGCTTGTGCTGTGGATGGAGCAGGAACAGCAGGCCAGGCAGGCTGCCTCTGACAAACACTGTCCTCTGTTCACCTAAATTGTCTGAACTGCTTGCTGAGGCAGAAACTGAGGCAGACAGCCCCACTGGGAGCAGCTCTGTAAATGAGTCTGGTTCAGTGATGACTGCTCACAGGAAAGCAGGTGAAGTCACCTGGAACCCTGGGCATGGCCGGGCTTCGGTGGACAGCCAGTGATGCTCCCAGGCTGCTACCTATGACCTCGGACTCCTTGACACTGGTTCCCAGCTCCCTGGCCATGCATCCAGGGACTGGGCTCAAGGAGACAGCTCCGGATCGGTTCCCAGATTCCTGGGTCTTGAGTCCCAGAGCTGAGCTCAGGGAGCCTGCTTTATACGGGAATAAAACAGATGTACAGTAAGTTCTAATAGCATGGCTTCTACTCTATTTCCCCATTTAAAACTTAGCATTGTCTAATGTTTAGGGAGTAAATGAAAAAGATTTATTTTCTAAAATTTGAAAGAAATAGAAAATTATGCTGGGACCCTTGTTCATTTTCATTTGAATTTGTTGGTGGTGGTGTGTGCTGTCGGGTTGGTTCAGACTTATAGTGACCCTGTGTAGGGTTTCTGAGGAGCAAGTGGTGAGCTTGAACCACCAACCTTGCTGTTCAAACCGACGTTTCAGTCCAGTGCATTACCCTGCAGTGCCAAACCAGAATGCAGACAGACACAAAAAGTGCTTGAGGCTAGAAGCTGCGCAGAGGGAGATTCAAGGAGGACTTGAACCAGTTCATTCCAGTCTGACTCTGCTGAGAATATTCATTCCCTCTCCCTATAGTTGCCACTCTAACAAGACCCCCAGGTGATTTTGTATGCATAGAGCCACCAGGGAGCACTACAAATTTAGCTTTATAGAGAATTTCAATTAGGAATGGAAGCAGCTCCTCTTGGAAACTCAGATGTCCAGGTTCAGATGGAGTTTAGAGCTACAGTGCTGATGCTGACGGCAGGTCTGGACTCATTGTAAACAGTAGGATTAGAGCCCCAAATTCGCCACTTGATGATCATGAGGAATTCAAAATAAATATTTGAAGTGTCAATTGGAGTTCTTGTGTGGTGCTGCGGGTTAATGTGCTGGACTGTAAGGTCAATTTAAACCTCAGGGTCAGTGGTTCAAGTTCACCAGCCATGCCTCAGAAACCCTATGCAGGTCACCATAAGTCAGAACCCACTCTATGGCACTTCACAACAACAAGAAAGAACAATGAATTTGCACTAATGCAGCAAATCATTGTGGTAAGGGATGTTTGTTTGTATGTTTATTCATCTGTTCGCCCCCTCCTAACTGTTTTCATGGACTTATTTTCAAACAAGAGGCAGTTGTTGGGATAGAACAAGGAGGTACTGAAGGGCTTAAAATCAGGAAGGGTGTGTGCCAGGGTTCTATTCTTTCACCATGCTTATTCGACATGTATGCTGAGCAAATAAACTGAGAAACTAGATTATAGGAAGAAGAACGTAGAATCATGATTGCAGAAAGAACCTGCAATTAACAACTTGCAATACACAGATGATGCAACATGGCTGGCTGGGAGAGAAGAAGACTTAAAATCCTTACTGATGAAGATCAAAGACTATATAGCCTTCAGTATGTGTGCACCTCAATGTAAAGAAAACAAACATCCTTAGAACTGGACCAATAAATAACAACATGATAAATAGACAAAAGATTGAAGTTGCCAAAGACTTCATTGTGCTTGCATCCACAATTAACACCCATGGAAGCAGCAGTCAAGAAATTACATGACATTTTGCATTCAGCAAATCTGCTGCACAAGACCTCTGTAATGTGTCAAAGAGCAAAGAGGTCAGTTTGAGGACTAATGTGTATCTGACTCAAGCCATGGTACTTTCAATTGCCTCATATGCATGCAAAAGTTGGACAGTGAGTAAGGAAGGCCATAGAAGAATTGATGTATTTGAATTATAATGTTGGAGAAGAATATCAAAAGTACCATGGACCACCAAAAGAACAAATAAATCTGTGTTAAAAGAAGTACAACCAGGATGCTTCTTGGAAGCCTGGATGGTCAGACTTCACCTCTCATACTTTGGACATGTTATCAGGAGGGACCAGTCCTTAAAAAGGACCTCATGCTTGGTAAAGCAGAGTGTCAGCAAGAAAGAGGAAGACCCCAACGAGATGAAATGGAACCTTGACAGCAGCGATGGCCTCAAGTCTAACAATTGTCAGTACAGTGAAAGGCCGGGCAGTGTTTTGCTCTGTTGTGCATAAGTTCACTATGAGTTGGGGCTGACTCGAAGGCACCTAATAGCAAGAATCTCAAACTTAGGATGATAGGACCTCAATTTTACTCTCCCTCAGAAAGTCCATTGAGGTAAAAAGATGGCAGTGTGCGGTTCAAAGCAACAACCATGTTTTCAACTGAGGATTTCAGGGGAAAATATATCTCTAGACTGATCAAAAATAAAATAAATGTCATTCTAAACATTTTGTACTCTCTTTCCACCATCATGATGTGATACTGTAAGTGATCAGGTGATTAACCAACTGATTACTCCTCAAAATGAATGTGTCCAATGTGTAACCCTGTGGTGGAACAAAGGAAGCCACGCAAATGAGGCCACAATTGCACGGGGACCCCAGTTCATGTGTCCAGGGGCCCAAAGGGGAACAAGGACTCACTTTGTCTTTTGTTGTTGTTGTTGTTGTTGTTATTAAGTACCCTCTAGTTAGTTCCAACCCAATAGCCACCTGTCCAAGGAAAGGCTAATAGGTTTGAATCTATGAGCTTGCAGTCAGCAGTCCAGTGATTGTCCTGCAGCACCACACCAGAACTTTCCAATAGAGAAGTCTGAGGGAATGTGCTGCACTGTTGAAGCATGAAAAAAATATCAACGTTGAACAAAAGTGAAAAAAACCAATCTATAAAGTCAAGGATGCACTAAATCCCAACCAATGACCCTGAAAGCTGCCCTTGGTAACATCTGACAACTTGGGGTGAGGTCGTCTCTAGCTGAGCCCCAGAACTGAGGATGAGGATAGGTCATGGTATCATGAGAGGTCCAAGCTGGAAGAGCCGTGTGTGGAGACGTTCACAGACATGCTACAAAGAACATGGAGTGAGATTGCTTCTGTGTTAGCCCTGGATCCTGGAACTATGTCCGTATGCATTTCAGACACGTCACGGGGACATCTCAGGCAAGTGTGTCCTGAGATCTTACTGGGGTCTTTCCATGCTCATTCTGAAGGACTTTTGTGATAAATAAGTTTAGTAAATTATTTTAATTGTTATAATTAACTCTGGAGACATTGGGTGCCACAGTTAACATGCTCAGTTGTTGACCTCAAGTTTGCAGGTTCAAGTCCACCCAAAGGTACTTTGGAAGAAAGACCTGGGGTCTACTTCTGAAAAATCAGCCACAAGCCACAAAAATGCCCACAGAGCCCAGTGCTACCCAGACACGCATGAGGGGGCCAGGAGTCACAGTCGACTTGACAGAAGCTGGCTGATTATCATTCACTCTAAGTTTGTCATTTTTTTACACGTTTCTGTTAGTAGGAATTATCTTTGTTCCCTGTAAGAAATAAGATCTAGATACATAATTAGCAAAACAGGGATTATTTAGAAACAGCTGTCTTAAAAAATATTAAGACCAGAGTTTATATGACTAATCCAATTAGAGGAACGAGGAGAGATTTTCATTATGAAGTTAATTGAACAACGGAAAGCCACAAGGCTGCTGAGTCCTAGATTGCCTCTGTTAATTATTCAAGTAAATACGGTAGAGTATGAATTGTGAAGGGGACTAACACTTAAATTCAGCAAGGCTAAAGTTCTCCACTGCTAATTACCAAGGTCTTCTTCCTGAGCCTCACGCTGGTTATGATTTCCTGTTGGCCATAAAAGTGGCTAATCATGGGGTAAAAGTCCTGTTCCACAACGAAGCAATAACAGTGAATTAGACTCAAAGAACCCAGTGATAAATAAAGTATTTATTTGAAGTACTAGAAAGGCTATCTGCTTAATTAATATGTGATTCCAGCATGAATGTTAATCTCTTATAGGAAAAGCATGCATCAGGGAACATAGGTCTCATTTGCATCAACACAAAAGGTTGCTATAGGCCATTTAGCATGGGCATTAATGATCTGGGGCAAGGTGGGAGGGTGGACTCCTCATGGTCACCCCAGAGAGGAAGGTTGCTAATTGGGAAACAGGTCCAAAAACCAGTGAGGACCAACCGTGGTTAAGGGCCCCAAGGCAGAGAACCAAGGCAGACAAGTACCTGCAAAAACTCAATTCGGAAAGACAGGGAGAAAATACAAAGCAGTACCAGAGACTCGGGGACAGCCTGCAGATCAGATTAAACAAGTATGGCCTGGGGTTTTTCGAGGTAGCAGTAAGAACAGATTGGGTTATTCAGAGCAAGGACTGTGCTGTGGCAGGCACTCAGTGGGTCCACACATCCTCACATTCATTAGGCAAATACACGAAAAAAAAGAGCCCAGACTGGAATGTTATGTATGAAAAACAAATGTTCATTGGAGTTTCCTAACAGTGAAGCACAAATATAAAATGCGCCTTCGGTCAGCAGTCTGTCTGTCCAAACATGGCCCGTGGGCACTCTCCAGGGGAGACTGGGAATCAGGCCTGCCCCTGGGCCTCCTCTGAGTAGGGCAGCCCCCAGTGAAACCCATCCCCCCAATGTTCTAGAAAGACAGGCTGAATGTGGTTCTCTTTACACGGCAGACTGGGATGCAGTCACTTGAAACAGATACTGCAGGTATAATGTGCCCCTGGCGGAACCAATGGTTAAGTGCCGGGCAACTGACCAAAAGGTTGGAGGTTCAAGTCCACCCAGAGGTACCTCAGAAAAAAGACATGATGGTCTACTTCCAGAAACTCAAACCAGAGCCAGCTTGATGGCCCCTCACTTGGATTTTGGACCCTCGCCTTCAGGGTGGGGTTCAGGGTCCCAGTACAGACCTCATCCTCCTTGACGGCTGCCCGGCTCTTCCCCTCCGCAGGCAGCATCAGGGTTGGGGGCCGGGGGGCCCGGCTGCGCTCTCTGCCTTTATCTGTTGGACCAAAGCAATGATCATTAACATTCCATTTGTCACAGCAAGCAGAGCCAACTCAACAACCAAAGACAAAAGGCAACCTTGAAAGCTCCACTTGGTTGGACGATTTGTGAATTGTATGGGCAGTTCTGGGCTGTATGCCTTCTGGGTAGAGGAGTGAGTATTACTTCACACAGGTGTGTATTCTTTGTGCACCAACACACACAGATACATGCAGATCTATGCACACACTCACATACAGTAATACATATACACACTGTTAGGGCATTTCTGGGCTGCATCCCTCCTGGGTAAAGGACTGAGTTTCACTTCACACGGGTGTGCATTATCACACACAGACATGTGCACATGCATGCACACATACACAGCTGTACATATGAACACATGCACAGAAATACATAGATGTACACACCTACACAGTCATACACATATACACACACATGAACACAGATGCACACACATCATGCATAACACACACACAGCTGTACATATGAATACACACACAGAAGTATATAGGTGTGCACACCTACACAATCAAACCTATGAAAACAGATGCATACATGCACACACATCACACACAGCTGTACATGTGAACACACATGCACATGCATACATAGTGCTGTGATTTCTACACAGTTGTACACATGTACACACATGTGAGCACAGGTGCACACATGAACACAGAGATCACATATTACACAGCTGTACATATCGAATACACACAGATAAATACATAGGTGGGCACACTTACACATCCAGACACATGTACACACACATGAACACATGTACACATATCATACATACACCTCTGTACATATTAGCACAGAGAAACACATAGGTTACCTACCTACACAATTGTACATATGTACACACACAAACACAGATGCACACATGCACACACATCACACATAAACAGCTGTAATATGAACAAACACATATAAATACATAGGTGTGCACACCTTCACAGTTGTGCACATGTACACACACATGAACACACATGCACACATATCACACATATCACACACTCATACAGTGATACATATGCCCACACAGATACAAGTGGACGCAGGTACACACATACATAAGCATGCACATAGTTATCAATATGTACAAGTATGTGCAAGGCACATATGAACACAGATACACACAAGGGCACAAGCACATACGTACATGCATACATACACTGGTCTGTATGTAGACACACACATAGGCACAGGCACATTTAGACTCGTATACACACAACTAAGAGCACACACATGCACACACTTGGACAAAGAACTGGGGAGCTGTCTTGTAGCCACACAGGCTTTGGTTGGAGCTTAGGGGGCTGTCCCTTGTGCTTTTAGTGGGTCTACAACTGGAAGGTTTGTGCCCCTGAGGCAGCTCCTGCATAGACTACCCTGGTGTCCTCTGCTCAGTTCCACATCCCAGAGGGGCAAGTACCCTGTAACAGCCACAAACTTCCTCCAATGTGCACAGGCTCTGGACAAGGGGACACATATGACACCATCGAGACTTCCCATCCACCCTGTGGACATCATGGTCTCCACAGACACTCTGGTGTTACCACACATGAGTCCAGCCAACATTTCTCCTTCCCATTTTTTAGGAATCAAGCTTTCCAGAGTTCTGCAAAAATTGATCCCCAAAAACCATTTCCTGGGGAGGAATGGGCAGTGAGGAGCCTGCACCATGGGGCCTCTGGCCTACTCCAATGTCAGGCAGTGGTGCCTCTTCCCGATTCTGTGTCCTCGTCTACAAAACAGACAACCCACCGACACCTCAGAGAGATGCTGAGAGTGAAGGAAAATAGCCATTGTCCACAGGACATTGGAGCAGGTTGAACTGGGTCCCCCAGAAATGCATGCCTTACTCTAAGACAGGGTCTTTGTAGATGCCACAAAGAGAGGGGTGTGGAGATACGGTTCCTTGGGTTTGGGGCAGTGGAATAAACAGATAAAGCATCATCTTCCCAGGAGTAAATCTACCTCAGCTTCTTCTAAGATGTGGACATAGAAGTGCATTGTGAGGCAAGTCAGAAAGAGGAAGAGCAAGACGGTGTGTGCACAGGACCTTTCTCACCAGCGATGAGCAGTGCTGAAGTTTACTCCTCCGTCATCTCAGGCAAACACAATAAGATCCTTTTTTTTTACTGAAAGTCATTGATCTTTTTAAAATTCAGGTCTTAAAAATCTGGCTTTTGAGAGCAAGGAATTTATATCATTCACCCTGAGTGCTTCATTAAGAAGATCTGTTTGATGATCACGGTAAAGCCTCTAATCGCAGATGTGCGTCCCTCAGAAGACAGATGAGTATGCCCTCTCCTCAATAGTTCCCTTAATCGCCGGCACTCCTTAACAACCATTGATTCTGCACCACCTCGGAGGAGTGTGGATCAGCCAGTGCACCCTGGGGTCCCTCACGTGTACCCTGGTCCATGGCTCAGCCGCCGATTCTATGAGTCTCCATGGGCCACTTCTGGGGTACACTCTGACATGCTTAAGTACTCTTTGCTTTGGGCCTCTCCACAAACTCTGATGATGTTGTCATAAAACATTCCCTTGAGAACACAGAGAACTAGTTTATGGAGGAAAATCAACAAGTCATATGGCGATGTGCGTTCAAGCACTTAGGGGAACACACCATCTATCTCTCCCCTTTGAGAGGGGCATGATGGGAATATCTCTCCTAGCAATCCATCTATTGACCAAGTCCAGCTCTGTGATGTAAAATGCTCCCTGGAGACCTTCTGGTTGATTTTCCTGCTGGCAGGGCTGAGTGACAAAGAGAACTGAAAGGTGGTGTGGTGTCTGAAAGGAAAAAGGAGCCCCTTGTGCTGAAAATAGCCTTGTCCATCTAGTGATGAGTGTGTATTCCCTGCTCATATGGAAGCCAGCTCAACTCTATGTGCTTGTGGGAGAGAGACAAGGTGGTCAGTTAGACAGTGTCCTCCCTGGAGGGTAGGGTGCAGAAATTGGCCAGGGTGTGCAAGATGGGACCATAAAGGGGAAGCACGAATAAGGAAAGAAAAAAAAAAAAAAAAAAGTTCCATGTCTTAGGCAAAACTTAGCCTTGGATTTTGTTGTTGTTGGATGCCACCTGCCTCAACACATGGTGGACCCAGGCACAATGAATATTGACTGGTCCTGTTCTGTTCTCCTGAGTGGTAGTGGGTGGGACCACTGTGACTCTTAGGGACTTCACTAACTGATTCTCAGAAGTACATCTTCCTAGTTCATCTTAGTCTGAGTTCACAGTCAGCATCACAGTAACACTCAGGCCTCCACCTACAAACACCACTGGCCCCATACTAGGTACCCTGGGCAGGAGTCCAATCTGGGCCTCCGGTATGGCAGGCAAGAATTCTGCCCCTGAGCCACCATGTGGCCATCAGTCTAGACAACAGCAGATCTTGCTTTATGGCTTTAATGAGCTTTGCAGATTTGTGTTTCTAATTTTACAAATGGAAGGTTTGTAGCAAGCCTGCATCCAGCAAATCTATGGGAACTATTGTTCCAACATGTAGTGCTTACTTCTTGTCTCTGTCACATTTTAGTAAGTAAGAGTAGATGTCATCCAGTGGGATCCCAGGGTGGAAGTCATCCAATGGGACTTCAGGGTGGACTTGGAACTGAGAGGACCCCAGAGTGGACACAGTGCTGTAGAATCTCAGGTATTGCTATCAAGGGGCATCAGAGCAGCGTCATACAGGCTGAGACATACCTACTCAGGTATGTTACCTCCTGGTCTGTTGTTCTGTCAAAAGCAGTCACCATGTTGTTGACCGGCTCTACTTAGGCCAGCCTTGAGGGGCTGCTGTTATCCTAGAGCACTTCCTGCTGGTACCCCAGAGAGCTTCCCGGTCATTCTCACAAAATTTCATACTTGTCTATCACGCTAGTGCACATTTACCAGACTCCTGTTGTGGTGCTGTAGGATCAGCACTGGACTGCAAACCACAAGGTCAGCAGTTCAAACATATTCAACTGCACTTGACAACAACATTGCACACTTAATAGACTATTGTTGTTAAGTGCTGTTGAGTCTGTTCCTACTCAGAGCAACCCCAAATAGGGTTTTGGAGGAGCAGCTAGTAGGTTTGAACCACCAACCTTGTGGTTAGCAGTCCAATTCATATCCTACAGCAACACACCAGAATTCCTAATAATATACCATAAATATAGCTTTCCTATGCATTACAAAACCAAAACAACAATGCCTTGTATGACTCACTTTATTGCAATCTCATGCTCATTACAGTAGTGTGGGATCTGATGCACAGTGTCTCCAAGGTCTGCCTGTGCAACAACCTGTTCTCATACAGTTCCTGACAGGTGACGATTCCAAGGTACCTGTCATCATCTGGTATCCAGCCACAGATCAAAGACAGCAAAAAGACAAATCCTAACTGACAACAAGCTTTTTTTTTTTTTTTTTTTTTTTGGCTGTAAAAGGAATTTTATTGTTTTCATTTGGTCCATAGTTTGGATGAAGAGGGGCTCCAGGGTGTTGACTATGCTGCTTCTGTGGTTGGAAATCAAGGTTCAGGCAGAAGGTCTGAGGACAGCAGGGGAATGTTGAAGGCCCTTCATAGGTTGTGGGACTCCATAGGCCCTTCCTAGTCATGATTGAGAGTGAGCCTCTCGAAGAGATACTCGCTCAGCCCTGCCTGGAGACTGGCCATCCTTCAGAGGTTGGTCAAGTGGTCGTCCATCTTCTTGATAATTTTCATTTCCTTGTTGAGGAAATGGTTCTCCAGAATGTCACAGAGGTGGGGGTCTGTGTGGATAGCACCCATGGCATGCAGATCCAGAAGTGACAGGTTTAAGTTCTTCTCCCGGGTTAGAGTGGCTTCCATGTTGTACAGGGTTCTTCCCCACTCATCTTGGGATGGCCTCTGCACATCCTAGAAGACAGCGTGACCACCATGTTGTTTTTTCAGTTTCAAGAGATCCTCAGCACCCTCGTGCTTCTCCTTCACCAACTCACAGATGAAA